TGGATGAATGAATGGATAGATAAATGAATGGATGGATGGATGGATGGATGGGTGGATAAATTGGTTGATAAATGGGTAGATTGAAGGAAAGATGAATGAATGCATGGATGGAGGGATGAATAAATTGCTGTAGGAAAGTGGATAATAACACTATTTATTTGTTTTCATGAGCTTTTAGCACTTTCTATCCGATATGTGCTTCCAATAAATAAACAATTGCTAACTAAATTTGATGCAATCCTGGGATTAGCTCTGGTATTTGTACCTGTTGGTGAAGGAGGTAGAGCGAGACAGCTATTTGGAAAGGGAGGCTCCAGAACTGGTGAAAACTGGGACAGAAGTTGACAACCCTGTCTGTATCAGTACTCATGTAGTTCACAACCTGAACAGATGAAAAGAACAAGTACATAGAGGTTAAATTATGACTGACTTATAAAAAACATACAATAGCATGAATAAAGGAGAAGAATAAAAAAACTGAATGAAGGTGAACAATGTGATTCAAGAAAATGGGTAATGGATGGGGTGGGAAATGGGATAAATGGGTAAGGGATTGATGGGTAATGGATGGGGTGGGAAATGGGATGGATGGGTAAGGGATGGGGTGGGTAAGGGATGGATGGGTAATGGATGGGGTGGGAAATGGGATAGATGGGTAAGGGATGGATGGGTAATGGATGGGGTGGGAAATGGGATGGATGGGTAATGGATGGGCTGGGTAATGGGATGGATGGGTGATGGGATGGATGGGTAAGGGATGGATGGGTAAAGGATGGATGGGTAATGGATGGATGGGTAATGTATGGATGGGTAATGGGATGGATGGGTAAAGGATGGATGGGTAAGGGATGGATGGGTAATGGGATGGATGGGTAATGGGATGGATGGGTAAAGGATGGATGGGTAATGGGATGGATGGGTAATGGTATGGATGGGTAATGGATGGATGGGTAATAGATATATGGGTAATGGGATGGATGGGTAATGGGATGAATTGGTAAGGGATGGATGGCTAATGGGATAGATGGATGGGTGGGTGGGTG